ATGAAGAGATTGAGATGGTAGTTCATAATGGCCATGCATTCTCTAGAAACCATCATTTTCCAAGAGATCGAATGGTAGAATATTATAATAATAATGCATGGAATACTATCAATAAAGCTCTTCAAGGTTCACAAGCAATATGGCTTATTGGACTCGAACTTGGAGAAGGCGAAATACTAGAAGAAATCTAATCAATAACGCAGTTTGTTCTAGAAGATGGTCATACATTTAGGACATGGATAAAGCATACAGATATTGTAAAAGCATGTAAGGAATTATTTGAGGATGTGGTAGACTGGCAACTTTGGGAAGGAATAATTAGTGAAGAAAAAGAGCAAGAGTTCCTAGAATCACTAAAAATAGTTGAGTTAGCAGAGCAGGTATTTGGGGCAAACTATGCTGGAAGTAAACTTGCCAATGAAATTAATAATTGGCATCTAACTCCAGCTAGTGTACATGAAAATATAAAGCAATCTTGTGTTGAGTATGGATATGGAGGACGCTGGAATGCATCTAACTATCAAGTCGGAGAAGTTGTATATATAGATATGAAAAAATGTTACCCAGCAAGTATGCATGGTCAAGGAGAGTGTTCACCATGGTTTAAGCGGGTTGGACATCCAACACATCATCTTGTTCGAGTAGCAGTAAATAGAGAATTGCTACAAGATGATATAACCAGATTTGCGTAAATAAAATCTTTCAAATTTGTTCCTAATATTCATCCAGCAATTCCTGTTTGGTATGGAAAACACTTTGCTTGTCGAAGTGGAGAAGGATGTGAAAAGGTAAAGGGCTGGACACCTATTGTACTTCTACGATATCTTCTCGAAACAGGTTCCTAGAAAGTGTAACTATAGGAGAAGCTATTATCTCTCTTACCAAGCAAACGAATGTATAGTTGTCTAAAAATCAGGATATTAGTTGTGCTATCATAGGAAAGTTCATGCAGAGAAATAAAGTTGAAGAAAAACACCTTACTCATCGGGTTGTAATAGATGAAGGAAAACTTGATTTCTTAATTCAAGATTGTATTAAAGAGGGAACATATGCAGGTAGTGATAAATATCTGCTTGGGCATATACTTACATATTACGAGGGTCATCAGCCTCAATATATATATTTGCGAG